CGGGGGAGGGGCCGTTTGTTTTGCTCCCTTTCATCCCTCGCCGCCCTGGGAAATGGAAACGGCCTCTTTGTGATGGATCGGCCCTCGAGCTGGTCCTTGACCTTCAGGGCGGATTTCTGCTGAGCTCAGCGGAAAACGCTCCACACAGCTTGTGGCTCCCACATGTGGGGGGTGGGAGGGGAGCAGAGGGGGGGCTCGGGCCCTTCCCAAAGACAGAACAACAATAACAGCGGGCGGACACGGGAGCCAGGCCGGCCAGGGCCTGGATAGGGTCCCGGCAAAGCCGCCAGCAAAGTGGGGTTTGCTCTTGGCAAACCGGCGCCTTGACATGGCCCAGAGTTCCTGCGGCTTCCCCTCCCTGGCACAGCCACTGGCTGCCTCTGCCGCCTCCTCCTCGGGGAAATGCGAGTTGGAACAGAGCTCTCTCCAGAGTGTCCTGGGAGGCAGGAGATCGAGGGCCCGGGACAGGCTCCTCGAGCCCCCACCCCACAGCTTGGGCACTGGGGGCTGGGCTACCCCTTCCCCAGGTATGGACTCTCCCCCAGACCCTCCCAGCAGGGCTGAGGCCAGGGCCCTTGTGCCCAGGGTGAGTGGGGCCCCTGACCCCCTCTGCCTTGGAGCCTCCCCTGTAGAGCCTGGTGTAGAAGACATGAGTCCTGGTTCCAGGTGGTGTGTCCCACCTGCATCCTGTGCCCCTCCCCAGCCAGCCCCCGAGGTGCAGGCTGGACATGGGCCCGTGGCTCCCACTAGGTCCAGAGCCTCCTCTCGTCGACCCCCACTGCCCCCTCAGGTTTAGGAGGCCTACACTCCCGAGCTCCATGCAGAGCACATGTGATGGCAAGAACTCTCTGCCCGAGCAGCTAGGCAGCCTGGCCCAGTGGACCCTGGTACCAACGGAGGATTCCAAGGACACCAGAGACCCACCCTCCCCGCTGCCTCCTGTCCCCATGGGGAACCAGAGCTGCACTGTGCGGGGATCAGGAACCTGGGCCGCCAACACTATACTCACACCAGGGCAGACGGTGACACTGGGTGCCTCACTGCTATTGAAGGAGAGGAGTGGACACCGGGGCCCAGCAGGGGGCCAGGGCCATCAGGCAGTGGTGGCTGGACCTGGGTGGGGAGAGTGTGGGCAGAGCTGTGCCCATGCAGGCCTTGCAACCAGTGGCCATCAGCCCTGGGGTCCAGGGAGGGAGCACAGGGCAGGACCAGGGCCAGGAGAAGTCAGGCAGTCACCTGCCTGGGCTCTGGGTTGGCCCTGATGAGCCACCCTGCAGCCTCAGTGGCAGTAGGGGAGGTGACCACAGGTTGGCAAAGCTGGGCTGTCTCAAGTACTTGGGGGACAGGGCCAGCGGGACACCAGCACCTCGGACATGAGCCCGAGGCCGTGTGCTGCCTGTGGCTGTCCCCGGAGCAGCAGCTCTGCCTGCTGGACCCATAGCTCCTGGCCCCCACCCCGACCGGTCCGTGGCCCCCAGAGCTGCCTGCTCTTCCCCAGGCCAAGAGGCTGCGGGCACAGCTGGAGGAGGCCCGGGAGGGGCTGGCTGCTCTGCGCAGGGAGCTGCAGGGCAGTGAGGACAGTCGCGAGGGGCTGCGCAGGGAGGTCGTGGAGGCCCGCCGGGCACTGGGCGATGAGGCCCTCGAGAAGGACGTGCTGCAGCGGTCCAACTCCGAGCTGAGGGCTGCCGTGAGCAGGGCCCAGCAGGAGAAGGCCAGGTATGGTGACAACCATGGGGATGCTGCAGGGCGTCCTCCTGGCCCTAAAGCTCCTGTCCCCCTCCCCTCACTGTGTTAGGACAGTGGTGTCCCACTGAGCTGGGCCAGGTGATGGGGGGTGGATACACCCACAGACCCAAGGTGCCAGCTGCCAATCCAGACGGTTGTCATTGTTGGCCACAAGAGAGAGACCAGGACACACAGACCTGTCCCTGCCCTCAGGCGGTTCCCCTCCAGCAGGAAAGACAGGCCCTGTGGAGATGTCCAGGGTTGGAGGGAGGGGAGTGATGGCAGGAGGGGCTGGAGACAGAGAGAGGGGCCAGGCAGCTGGGCACTCGGACCCACTGTGCCCATCGGTGACAGGCAGCCCCAAGGAGGCTGGGCTTTAGGACACCACAGGCGTGTATCTCTAGAGTGAGGCAACAGCCGCTGGGCAACCTGAACAGTGACCCCGGGAGATGTCAGACCCCCAGGTGGCCCCCCAGCCCCAGCGGGTGACACTCCGCTCAGCTTTCAGAGGTCCAAGGAACAGAAGGAGCAGAAGGTGCTGGTCCTGGAGGAGGCCCGAGCTGCCGCCCAGACCGAGGCTGCCGAGCTGCGGGCCAGCCTGCAGGAAGCGGAGCAGGCCCGGGCGGACGCCCACCGGGAGCTCCAGGAGCTCCGCAGACAGGTGAACAAGCTCCCTGGAGCCTCTCAGGCCTCCCCCCGGGCCCCAGCTCCTCTGGCCCCCCCGGGCACCCCAGGCTGCAAGGCAGAGCTGGAACACTGGCTATGCCTTTGGAGCCAACAGAACCCTGCTCAGAACCCTGTTCCCGGGTGGGTCTGCCCCGTGGGGCACCGATGACCAGCCTCAGGCCTAACGGCCTAACCCAACCATTCTGAGGCTTAGGAGCCTGAGGGTCAGGAATCCAGCCTCAGGGCACCGAGAGGAGCTTGGCTCTGGGCCGCAGGGAGGTGGCCCCCACAGCAGGGGCTTGTCGGCAAGGACTGGGCTTACCTGGAGGAGCCTCCTCTCATGTCCAGTGGCTGATGCTGGTGGTCAGCCGGGGCCCCCGGGCTAGTGTCGGGCTCTGAGCTCCATAGGATCCTGGCCCCACCCAGGGCGAGGCGCCAGGTGTCTGTGGAGTGGCTGAGGGTGGAGGTCTGAGGGCAAAGGTCAGAGGGCACTGTGCAGACCCCTGTCCAGAGCAGGACTTAGCCTGAGCCCCCCCAGAGTGTGGGGAGCTGCCGGGAGGGAGGCTTCCTCCCAGGACACCTGAGCAGAGGCGGGGGTGCAGGAGGCTGCAGGGCTCCTGCAAGGGGACGGGGGCCCCATCAGTGCTGCCCCACCCCCTAGGTGAAGACACTGGAGAGGGAGAGCCAGAGGAAGAGCCAAGAGGTGCGCCAGCTGCAGGCCCGGTGCGCACAGAGCCGGCAGGAGGCCCTGGAGCGGCAGAGGCAGGAGGCGGAGGTGGAGGCTGCCCTGGAGGACACCCAGAAGCAGGTGGAGGGCTGAGGGGCCCCAGAAGGGGAGGCAGAGGTGCAGGGCCGCCCAGGCCTCGCTCTGCCCTCGTATGATCATGTTTGAGTACAGGACAGAGTCTCACCCAGGTGAAGAGAGTTCCGGTCCTGGGACAGGCAGGCCCCCCTCAAAAGACCCAGTTCTCCAAGAGCTTCAGGGCCTGGAGCTCACACCTACACCCACACCTGCACACGTGTCCCCATGCCCCGACGCCTGCGCACATACGGGCAGGCACTCTCCCCCCAGCTCCCCCCAAGCGCCTGCACACACCGGCTTGAAAGGCCCTCTGTTCAGTCCCAGGCCCCGCCCCTCAGGTTCTGTTCGTTGCTGTGGCCAGGTGGCCTCAGACCCCACACGCAGCCTGCAGAGGTCTTCCTGGGCCTCGGCCTGTGTGGGGCTCCTGGGTTCAGACCCAGCGTCCTGCGCAGAGCGGGGGTCATCAAGCACCTCCCGTGCCCAGAAACGTGGGTGCCCCCCCATGGCCCGTGTGACCCCCGTGCGACCTCACAGCCCTCACCTCCATCTGTGAATGGGGTCGTTATACTGTGGCCACCCAGGGAGGGCGATGAGATGAGGCCCACCTGCGCTGGCGCCAGGCCTCCTACCCCGGGGGCTCGCAGTCTGGCAGGGGCTCTGGGCCTGGAGCTGGGGCCTGGCCGCCTCCTCCCCCAGCCTGTGCACTTCTCGAGGGGTGGCAGTGTCCCCGCTTATTGCCCTGTTCACTCACCTTGAGTGAGTGGAGGGCGGGGGACACAGTCAGGCCACGGCCAGGGGGATGAGTAGCAGCAGAGGGACAGCGGGGTCAGGGAGG